TGCAGTTTGAGGGCTGCTACTGGACAGTTTACAATATGTCAAAAGCACACATACAAATTTCCACTCAAACATTTTAAAATGAAGTACTTTTCATCTAACTATACAATTTTCATTTGGTAAATCTGATTTAAACACAATTTTCTCAAAATAAGGATTAAGCACTAGGGTGATTTTGGCCCCGAGCCAATAATCTGTTTCATTAACATCTAAGGTAAATATAAAATAGCTGCTGTTTAACTCTTTAAGGCCTGAGCAACGCTGTGAACGTTGATAGAGAAGTTTCTTTTTGCCCAAAACAACGCTGTCATCGTCAGTCATGTGTCCCATACATATTGCTTCGTACACAGCTCCGTACTTGTTTCTAATGTTCGGAACTATCATTAAAGTATTCAGGAAAAGTTACTCTAATGATTTCCTTTTAATAACATTCCTTATCCCAAGCCATATGTGCATAAATTGATCGGATTCATAATTTTCTAAGTTCGTTTTTGAGTGCCATTAATAACATGCGTCTATCTGTGGCTGAAGCTCTAAAATTGTTTCAGTCAGATGTTTTTAATACTGATAATCATAATTTGGATTTTTTTGAAAGCGATTCGGATGGGGAATTCTCACCAACGAAGCTGAGCTATCAGCTGTTGGGAATCTAACGATTTTGATGAATTTACACAGCAATGTCCCTTTGTTACCGTATTTATGGTGTAAGAGAAGGAAAGTGCTCCAAACAAAGAGACATTTCTATACTATGGCTAAGCTACATTGAAACCATTGCTGCTACCGTCTGTATATAACTGTACAAAGAAAATAGTAAATAGTGTGAGTGTAATGACCCATTTTTCTGCCATTTTTTCTCTGAAATTTTGTTCAGCCCTTGAGTGTGAAACTAACCCAGAAACTTATCATAACTTTGGAATTTGTTAGGAAATTTAACAAACTTTGAAGTTTTGTTCTCAAGTTTGAATATTCACTACTCTTGTGGCTGTAAAACCATGGTAAGTGAAGAATCTGTTGTAAAATTATGTTGTTGTGAAATTAACACCTGCTGAATTCTTTTGTCCTACTAACTATAACAAAATGAAACATATATTTATCATCCAAATCAAAATGTACATGCATTTCTCTTTAAAAAAAATATATTCTTTTATAGGGATTAGAAGTATATTACATTCTCTATATGCCTTTTTTGTACACCCACCCCTCTGCCATTTTTGTAAAGGGAAATTAATGTGGGCCAAGTCTGTCAAAATTCATGGGCCTGAAAGAGTTAAAGGTCCTAAATATTTAAGTTCAGTGAGTTAATATAATATCAGTACATACAAAATAAAAAAGGTGGGGGGTGGGTGAAGTAGTAATAGGCTAGGAGAGATTATGAGTTATCAGTTGAGAACTGACATCACATCACTCAAGACATCCCCAATAACTCTTTCAGTATCAAAGAACTCACCATATGTTGATTGGTTCATTACATGCGGAACATGAAACTGTTCATGTTTTCCCACATTTTGAAAAGCTGAAAATTGTGAGTCATATACAAAATGTGTCTGAAATATTTATTTCTTATTTTTGGACAAAAAGAAACAAAAAATAGAGGTTGCCTTACACATGAGGTAGTCTTATACATGGGACATGTTTAAAATTGTTAGTTCTTAATTTGGGGCTAAAACAATATAGGTGATCTTATACATGGGTTCGTCTTAAACATATGGTTGTTTTATATACAGCAAATTATAGTAAGTAGCCTATAAATTAGAAAGCCACAACAAAACCTAGCTAAAAATACGGCTGCTTTCTTTTGAAAACTTCTTCAAACCATTTATACTAAGTCTGAAAGCATATAAAGTCCAATGACAATGAAAACAAAAGCATCACACAAGATGAATAAATAAAGCACTTTTATAAAGAAGCATCGCCAAAATAAGCATGTGACAAAGAAGCGATGACGGCATTGACAATGTATTATACTGTCAGTTATAGTTTACAATCTGAACTGATTATACATAAATGTCACAAGAACTGCGTTGAAGACACAAAGAATACTTTCTTGTATTAGGAAAATAAACAAGGAGATCATGTTGTTATTTGTATTTGTTTTAATTTCTTAACAAAAGTTAACATATCAGGAAAAACGTTGTTCCAACCAAATGGGCACATCCATTTAAAACAGCTGATAAACATTTGGCAATAAATTAACACAGAAAACAAAGCCTTAATTTTAGAGCAAAAGAAAGTGAAGTTAAAAAAAAAATGTATCTATTTCTCTGACAGATTCCCACCCAATGTTAAAAAAAAAAAAACTGAAGGAAAGAAACCTCCTACACTTAATTCCTTATTTAAGAGAAGTAAGGAGGTCACATATAGCTTAGTTAGCGTTAGTTAGCACCTATCTTTCCAGATGACAGTGTTTTATTGTTTTACTAGGAGGCATGAGACTCACTGCCCATGGCAATGGCGACATCTTTACACCTCTCTAATTGACTGGTCAGTCTCAGCATGCATCCCTGCCAGCTCTACTTCCTCTAGACAACAACTTTCCTCCAAGATAATCAACACAGCAATTTGTGCTAGAGTAGATAGATGTTTTATAACCTACTTGTTGGGGCTTTCCATCTACTATTATTTTTAACATGCACATTGTACACACAGAGGTTTTTGCCATTAACTGAAAAGGCTAGATTCGTACATTCAACGAATCAACAATGTTCAGACTTGTCTCTTACATTGTCTGTACGAGACGACATCTGTTCGGGGCCTCAAGATAAAAACATTGATCCTTTGATGCCCTACAGAGAGACAGCAGTCTGTCAATCTTTCCACAAGGGACAGCGATAAACATTCTGTGTGTTTTTTAGTTGGCGCAGAAGCTGAGCAACTATGAGGTGACCCGTTTGCTATGAAGCTGAAACTAAGATTACCAGATTACCGAGCTAGATTCAGATAGAAGCATACCATCTTTTTATGGACGATGGTGTCATAGAAGTACATTACCCATCTCTAACACTCAGGCAGACCAGGTTAAATTCAGTGCGGACAACTCAGCAAAGTAATCTAAAGGACTCCTTTCCTACCACTAGGGCACACAGGGCTAGATTCAAATTTTTAAGACAGAACGGCACTCAGTGGATGTGATAAACATGCCAGCAACCATTAATCCCAGGACATTTCCTGGTACCCATGTGTGGCTCAATCGGCCTGGGAGATTTAATCTACCATACAAATCCAAACTCATGCAAATTTAAACCTAAGTCTTCAGGCGAATACCTAGCCACTGTTCTACTGCACCCAGACCTAATGACTCATACCAAACAAACAAAAAATATTAAAAAATTAGAACATCCAATTAAGTAGCAAAAGCTCCCATCTGACTCACCGTAACTGTTTCCCCTGAGCCTATTTTAATAATTGATTCCTTATCTTTCATCAGTGACTCCTTGAACTCTTTAATGTCCTTGCGAGTCCACATAGAGGCATCCACCAGTGAGTATTCTATATGCAAGACCATATCAAGCAATGATGAGACAATGATGTGCATGAAATGATGAGGCATTGATGGTCAACAAGAAATAATGAGACAGTGATGTGCAAGAAATGATGAGATAATGATATACAAGAGATGAGGAGGCAATGGCAAGCAAGAAATGATGAAGCCATGATGTGCAAGAAATGAGGCAAAGATAAGCAAGAATTGATGAGGCAATGGTGTGCAAAAAGTGATAAGGCAATGTGCAAGAGCAAGAGACAGCTGGGAGCTGTAAATATGAACAACAAAATGGCCTATCTACACAAAGCAGTGCTGCAATTTATTATGAAGCACATCATTTATGTTTGACAAAACCAACTTACTTGTTTGATGCTACATCATAATGGAGACAAATGACAGGTACAAAAAAGCTACTGATATAATTATACTATTCTAAATACTGGCTTCACAAAGCACATGATGCTAGCAATATGGCAAAGGAGGCAAATAAAAAAATTATGAATGAAAAAGCCAGTGATATAACTAGCAGACGATGCTACGTATTGACTTGACCACACATGAAGTGCCAAGTAATTAGCTTAATTTGCAGTTCTAACTACATGGCAAATGGGTCAACCCTTAATTGCTCTATTTCTGTCCCAACCAAAAAAAAAACAACTCCATAGAATGTCCATCCTGTCCTTTGCTGGGAGAAAAAAACTGACACAGAAGGCAGTTTCAGCACAGCAAAATCAATAGCATACCTACACACTACACTTGTACAGTTACTAAGAAGCCAATCAGAGCAGCTGTGGACCTGTCCAGACTGAATGTAGTCCTCATGAATGACTCAATAAATAATTATAAGATACAAAATGAATGCCATTAATTAAAACGCTAACAGGTGTCCTTTATCTTTCAATACAACCTCCTCAACTAATGCACAACAATGTCTCTCTCTCCCTCTTGATGGTCACAACAATGTCTCTCTCTCCCTCTTGATGGTCACAAAGAAAGATTTACTTGATGGTCACAACAATGTCTCTCTCTCCCTCTTGATGGTCACAACAACGTCTCTCTCTCTCCCTCTTGATGGTCACAACAATGTCTCTCTCTCCCTCTTGATGGTCACAACAATGTCTCTCTCTCCCTCTTGATGGTCACAACAACGTCTCTCTCTCCCTCTTGATGGTCACAACAACGTCTCTCTCTCTCCCTCTTGATGGTCACAACAATGTCTCGCTCTCCCTCTTGATGGTCACAACAACGTCTCTCTCTCCCTCTTGATGGTCACAAAGAAAGATATATTTACCCAATGACAGATTTACTTGATGGTCACAAAGAAAGATATATTTACCCAATGACAGATTTACTTGATGGTCACAAAAAAAAGATATATTTACCCAATGACAGATTTACTTGATGGTCACACAAAAAAAAGATATATTTACCCAATGACAGATTTACTTGATGGTCACAAAAAAAAGATATATTTACCCAATGACAGATTTACTTGATGGTCACACAAAAAAAGATATATTTACCCAATGACAGATTTACTTGATGGTCACAAAAAAAAGATATATTTACCCAATGACAGATTTACTTGATGGTCACAAAAAAAAGATATATTTACCCAATGACAGATTTACTTGATGGTCACACAAAGAAAGATATATTTACCCAATGACAGATTTATTTACTGGTCACAAAGAAAGATATATTTACCCAAAGACAGATTTACTTGATGGTCACAAAAAGATATATATTTACCAAATGACAGATTTACTTGATGGTCACAAAAAGATATATATTTACTAAATGACAGATTTATTTACTGGTCACAAAGAAAGATATATTTACCCAAAGACAGATTTACTTGATGGTCACAAAAAGATATATATTTTCCCAATGACAGATTTACTTGATGGTCACAAAAAGATATATATTTACCAAATGACAGATTTACTTGATGGTCACAAAAAGATGTATATTTACTAAATGACAGATTTATTTACTGGTCACAAAGAAAGATATATTTACCCAAAGACAGATTTACTTGATGGTCACAAAAAGATATATATTTTCCCAATGACAGATTTTCTTGATGGTCACAAAGAAAGATATATATTTACCCAATGACAGATTTACTTGATGGTCACAAAGAAAGATATATTTACCCAAAGACAGATTTACTTGATGGTCACAAAGAAAGATATATTTTCCCAAAGACAGATTTACTTGATGGTCACAAAAAGATATATATTTACCAAATGACAGATTTACTTGATGGTCACAAAAAGATATATATTTACTAAATGACAGATTTATTTACTGGTCACAAAGAAAGATATATTTTCCCAATGACAGATTTACTTGATGGCCACAAAAAGATATATATTTACTAAATGACAGATTTATTTACTGGTCACAAAGAAAGATATATTTTCCCAAAGACAGATTTACTTGATGGTCACAAAGAAAGATATATATTTTCCCAATGACAGATTTACTTGATGGTCACAAAGAAAGATATATTTACCCAAAGACAGATTTACTTGATGGTCACAAAGAAAGATATGTTTACCCAATGACAGATTTACTTGATGGTCACAAAGAAAGATATATTTACCCAAAGACAGATTTACTTGATGGTCACAAAGAAAGATATGTTTACCCAATGACAGATTTACTTGATGGTCAAAAGTTAAGATACATTTACCAAATGAGAGATTTACTTGATGGTCAACAACAAAAAAGAAGACATATTTTTTTTATATACAAACTGATATTATCTGTACAAGTAAAAAAGATATGACTGTTCTAGTCAACCTAGCAAACATATCATTAACTTACATAAAGATAAGACAAAAGCAATATATTTTTGACATTAAACAATCAACAGGTTGACCCAAATGTACATCGTAAAGCAGACATGAAAATCTATCGACAGTTTTACAAAATCATGAAAAGACAAGTATAATAACTAAAATATTAGCTGAAATTATTGATGCCTAGATGTCAGGCAGACAAAATACAAAAGTTTTTGCTGAAATACTTCATCGACCAAAACTCAAGCAGACTTCTTCTTTCTCTTTGCGTTCACCAGCTGTAAACTCTGGTGGAAAGTTCTGGTTGTTTGCCCACTTCTAGACTGCAGTCCTGTTCCAGAACCTAAGTGTTACATGTGTGTCCATTTTACAGATCTGACTCACGAAAACTGACTAGCAGATTTATAAGATAGTCTTTCCTGTGGTGTTATGGTGGAACTATTAGGGAGGGGGGGGGGGGGAATAGAACAGACCCACTGTCCCCCTCCTAACAAAAGGTGACAAATCAGGGATGTTTTCTTCAAAGCTGGAATGCATATGTTTAAGAGGTGAGGAACCAACAGTCTGCATATAAATGGGCCAGAACTGTAAAACATAGGTGCATGCAAATTTCAGTTTTTGAGCACGACCAAAGACCATAACTTTCTGCTGGAGTTAACATCTGATTAATGTTAAGAAAAAGAAGATGAGATGGTCAAAAGTCAAGCATGATAATATTTGCAGTGAGACTTGATGGTCAAATATCAAGTAGACAAAACACTTAACTATCTGCTGAGACATTTTATAGAAAAAAGTGAAGTAGACAATCTATAGACAGATTTATGACACTATCAAAGGTCAAAGGTAATAACAAAATGATAGTTAATAGTCTAGCATCCCTTATAGATTCCAGAGCTCCATTTTGAGGGAGAAAATGAACAGACTCTCTGCATGTCGTTAGAGGTGTCAAATGAGGAAATTCTGAAACTGGGCGTGTTGATCCAGAAGGCGCAATAATCCCAGCACAGCTGTAGACCCTATCACAATGTGTCAACTGCCTCTTTAAGACCAAATGTATAAGAATGGTTCAACAGATATAACACTAAAAAATATACTGAAATTTGATGGAGAAAATTTAAACCAGGCATGGAATAAAGTAACAGGAGATTAAAGTCACAATTTAATTGTAAGCAGGCTACAATGAATAATCCCGAAGGTGCTTTGGCAACAACATTAATATGTCTTACAACAAATTGCAAATTACAGCAGAAAGACCATACACCAAGTAGAGTGCTAGAAATGCTGTAGCAGAAGGAACAGGACACTGAACTATAACCCCTCACCGTTGCAGTGGCAAGTGAGCCAATGCGCACAACATTTTCTTTACAGGATCTTAAACTATCTTTGAATTCTTTTAAATCCTTTCTGGTCCACAGAGATGCAGGGACTATTTTGGCCATTGCTGTTATTGCCGCTGAGAAAACATGTGGGGATAAATGATTGGCTTGTAGAGAAGGAAATGTGTTTGAATAAACAAAATATGGTTCAACATAAATGTTATTATCAAACTGAAATATGTCAAACAAATAAATTTACTTGTAAAAAAACATAAAAGTATGCTGAAAATTAGTGAGGTATTGCAACACAGAGTATACAAGAACAACTGACTATGGTCGAGTGACCAGAAGAGTGAAGAAAGGAGAAAAAAAGAGAAGGACTAGGAGGAAGTTGATGAGGAGGAAAAGATGAAATAGAAGAAGCATTAGAAGAAGTAGGAGAAGGAGAAAATGAAGGAGGAGGAAGAGCAGACTGGTCTACCAGGAAATGCATGTGTCTTCTGGGGCACTATTTTGCATGTCTGGACAACAAATGTGTTCTATGTTAAATCTATTTATAATTTTCTTCTGGTGAATAAATGGCAGGAAGAAGTCAGATGCATTCACTTGAAGCCACAAATACTGCAACTCTGCTGTTGACAGATATAAATAATGTAAATACAGTTCCAGAATTCTATGTATGCTCTGGGGTAAGAGGGAATGAACGAGTGGATTGGGTTGCTGGCAGGGCCACAGTAGGTACAGGAAAAACAATAGACCGGGCAGACATTCTCAACTCTCTCAAGGAGGCAGGACGAGAAGATGATTCAGGAGACAATGCTGAATCGACAACACTCAAAAGAGTGCAAGAACTTCAGATCAAAAGAGGTGTCACGAAAGATTAACATTATACAGGTAGCCAAAGAAGAATAGTAAACCAACACAGAACTGGTGTTATCAGTCGCCACATGCTGAGGGATATACTGAAGATGGGATCCGAGTGCTTATGGACTTGTCAGATGTGCAGTGAGGATATTCTCACTAACATAAATACTGGAAATATACAAAAATCACCTGCGTGAAACCATCATTACTAATAGTGTTACCTACTGTGCATGCTATTAGAGGCAGAGTTCCTAATTTTTGTGGTCTACGTTTGCCATTAAGTGTAAGGATGAGTTTTGAGTTTCTCACCTCGAGTCTAATGTGTTGTTCTGACATGACAGATATGACTCAACTTTGGGAAGGAAGGGAGGGGGGGGGGAAGGGGGAGCTACATTTGTAAAGTGGATGTGTACGCAGGACTCCAGTTCTGCAACATGATCAAAGTTCAAGAGTGAACAAGCCAGTGAACACTAAGGAGAAAAAGATGAAGCTACCACTCTGAAGACTTGACTGAACTGATCAGATTATCAACCATTCATAGCACAGAGTTATAAAACAAATACAATATACCGTGTAAGTAAGGTAAGTAAGGGACCCTTCTCCACGCCTTTAGGCGTATAGGGCATATAGGGCTAGACCTATATTTTTATAGACCAATCGGCACAAGATGGATGATGTGGTCAGCATCACGCCGGCCGCCTTTACTTTCCTGGGACTGCACCCGGTACCCACTCAAGGCTGGGTCGACCTGGCAGCCAAGGTCATTTTTGAAAAATATACCGTGTACTTTACAAAAAGTAAACAGAAGGGCCCGTTCTAAAGATCTTTGCCGCGAGGCATTCCAGGAGCAGAGAAAAGAAGAAGAAAAAGAAAAAAGTAAAGAAAAGGACATTTTTACACCAGAGGCAAATGAGATATATGATACTACACTCACTTTTTTCTATAGACCCAATGACATCCAGTGATGGGTCAAAATTACGCTGGCCACCTTTATTTCCCAGCACTTTACCTCATACCCAATTAAGGCTGGGTCGACCTAGGAGCCAAGGTCATTTTTTAAGAAAGAAAAAAATGAAGCTTCATTCGAATTTTAACCCATGACTCTCAGATCCCCAGGCTAGTGTTTAGCCACTGCACCTTCGCGGCTCCTCATCCATTATGTAACTGTAACTAAAATTCTGGGTCATCCCCTCACCTTCCTCGTCATCTCCACATGGTGCGATTGGCGTCACTCCTTCTGGGATTGGGGATGCAGCAATTTTCCCACCTTCACTGCTGCTAGTGGTAGTGGTGACTCCATTCAGGGTTAGTGAAGATGGAGTCTGCTGCTGCTGGCAACTGCTGTTCATAAACCTGCTGCATGTACTGCTGGAAATGCTGCTCCTGCAGCTGTTTTATCAAATCATCTTGCTGTTGGTAAAATAACAGAGAATGATTGATAAGTCACAGTACTGAGAAAAAAAATTACTTGGGAAAAAGATCTATATATATATATAGATATATATATATATATATATATATATATATATATATATATATATATATATATATAGTATATATATATATATATATATATATATATATATATATATATATATGTATATATATAGATATATATATAATTATAGAGAGGCATGGTCAAAAAAGTTATGCCTTCTAATCTCTATCTATGTAAATACTGCATCCATGTGCAATTTGCAAATTTAGTCACATTCCTCACTTTTATTCACTGTATAAAATTAGCAACCTGTTTCAGTGACAGGTCGAACCACTATGATGGTTTTTAAATGTCTCCATTGGGTAACACTGGATGAACTATATTCCTTGTTGGCCATTAGTAAAGGCAGTGTCCAACACCATCCAGTGTTACCTGATGGTCAGCAAAATGATGCCCTCAGCTACATAATGTTGTGCGGAGTAACTGCAGTAGATGGATGAATGGTCCAAGACCATCCAGTGTTACCTGATGGTCAGCAAGATGATGCCCTCAGCTCCATGAATGCTGTGCGGAGTAACTGCAGTAGATGGATGGACGGTCCACTTTCCATCAGCATTTGAGGATTGGCCAACTTCAGAATCATCATAACAGTATATCCAGTGTCATGTCAGACAGTATGAACATATACTTTTGAATCTCCATAAACATTCTTCACCTACAGCACTGAGGAATTCTATAACATTGTGTTGTTTTAACTGGACATCTTTGGAAACCATTTTTAAACCATTACAGTGGTGCCACCAGTTGCCAAAAAGGTTGGCAGTGTTATACAGTGAAGAAGAGTGTTTGAGGAATCCTGCTAAATTTATAATTGCACACAGATGCAGTATTTACATAGATTATTAAAAAATCGGAGGCATTACTCTTCGAACCGTTCCATCGTATATATGGTTGTTATGTCTTTTAGTTGGCAACATTTTAATTTTTCCGGATAATATTTGTTGTATTTAGTGAAAGGCAAGCAAAGAAAACACAATATATGGCGATGGCAATGTGGCGTGTGACCACAAGATCTGCTTGCATTGAGAATATCTTCTGCAATTAGAGCATGAGATTTCAGGATGATTGCTATGATCACGAGTATATCTAACGTGCCTTCTTTTCAAATGCTCAGTATTTACACCTGTCTGCAGTAATGTTCATTTGATCTCTGTCCCCTTCTTGATTCCCTCCCCTCCTTGCACCACAGTCTGTGGCATACTGTTTCCAGGAATCCATTTCAATACTTGTATCAATTATGTCCCACTTGCAGATATCTTTATCTCATGGTAGAGGTCGACGTAGACATCTTCTACCCATCTGTAACTCACTACAGGGCATGTCATTAGGGACTCTACCATGCTGCATCCTCTCAGTGTGTCCTAGCCATCTAAAGGCCTTTGTACAAGCACTTCTCAGAAAACTAATGTGATAGATTTTGACTGTGTGTGCATGTGTTTGTATGTAAGTATGTATGTGAGTGTATGTGTACGTACATACATGCAAAATCATCAAAATATGAGGGGGAAAATGTTAGCATTGAAAGGAACACGTTGAAGAAAACCTTTGCACTGGAACTAACAGGGTCGAAGAAATAAAGACAGATGATAAAACACATTGAAAAGGGAACTAGAGTGTGTAGTTAAAAAGTTGGGGAGGACAATGTCTGTGTTGCATGCAACGGCAAAGGATTGGACGACCTTGGCGTAGTAAGCTAGTAGAGGATATATAGCTTATGTTCTATTGGAAGAGAGAAAAAAATGAAAGGTATATTCAATGAAAAAAAGTTAATTTTTGTGCTTCATTTTAGGTAGCCGAAAACTTAACTGGGACATGACACAACACAGGAAAATATGCCAGGCAATAATTTACTGTTTGTGTTCTGATTAAATTAAAGTTAAGAGAACTGATTTCATCACACTAGGTGTTATCCCATATTTCTCTCCGCAGAAATGTTAGCCGCCTGCCAGGAGTGTCGCACAAAGCAGGAACTCCGTAGCTCCAGCAACAACCTCCAAGAATCTCTGTGAAAAATGTACCCCTGAAGTGAATGATGTGACCATGAAACAAACCCTCGACCTTCACCGAATGAGGCAAACGGCTTAACCATTTTAACATGGAGACTTTCAAAGTCCTCTGCTTATATGTTCTCATTTATTTAAATTGACTCATTCAATACCAAGCAAATGACAATGCATCTGTTGGTTTCAACTGACATGATACAGATTTCTGCACTTCTTGTAACAAATCCATTTTGTTCCTAACCCTCTTTACCCCAGTTCTTAATTTAACTGTCTCTGTTTCACGGCATCACTGTTGTCACTCTACAGACCCAAACATCTCACAAGTAACAACTTCTCAGACAACGAATAGTTAAAGTTACTCCAGCTCAGTACCAACAGAATAAACACAATAGGGAGACAAAAAACAACAATACAAACCATTTCTTTGTTGTTTGGATACTGCTGTTCTGCATACTGCCTAAACTGTAGCTGAGTCTGCTGGTTGAGGGCGGCTCTGATCTGCACCCTGATAATGACATTACATTACAGGTCTTACATGTACAATCAAGTGCTGTCACTTATGAAAAAAAAAAAATGTATTCAATGGCCAATACTTCTGTTTGCTTCTTCTTCATCCCCAGGTTCATTTCTGCCTGCATTAATGCTTTGACTGCCCTTCTCTTTCCAGTTGGTGACTCCAAGTGACTGTAGGTCTGTCTATATTATCCCTCTCCCCTGTCTTCTTGGTCTGCTCAACAGTCTACGATATTCAAGTCTTTACGCAATTTCTGACACACTATTACCTGCGATTCTCCCCATATGCCCCAACCAATGTAGTCTAATAGTTCTTATGATGCCAGTAATTAGTGGTGATTTGAAACAGATCATGCATTTTGTTGTTGCCTCTCTGTCTCCATTCTTCACTGTCTGCATCTTTGACAGGTCCACAGATTCAGCATATGATGAATTAATGTCGTCAAAGAACCACTATAGCATTGTGGTTAGTGTTAAAACATTGCTGGTGCAATCACCAGTAGCAGCAAGACTTGTCTGATCAGCGCAGCTTTTAGACTGAACAAACCTTTTCATCTTCTTCATTTGTATCTACTATAACTCCAGCCCAAGGTTTTGGTTGTTCGCCCACTTTTGGATTTTGGTCTTGTTAAAGAACTTGAGTTTTGCATTCACATCTGTTCAACACATCTAGCTCATTTATATGCAGACTGTTGGTTCCTTACCTCTGAGGCAGATGCACTCTGACTTTGAAGAACACATCCCTAATTAGTTGCCTTGTATGACATGACTGCTGGACGATGTTGGAGGATCAAAAGAACAGCATTGTGTCTGTCTGCCTCTCCTAGCTTCTTCAAGATTCATCAACATAAATCAGCAAGTCCTCAAATTGGATGTGTTTGGTCAGAAGGCACAGATATCACAGCCTAACTTTAAACCACAATACAACACACCATCATCATCATCAATCAACAAGTCCTCAAATTGGATGTGTTTGGCCAGAAGGCACAAATATCACAGCCTAGCGTTAAACCACAATACAACACACCATCATCATCAATCAGCAGGTTCGTTACCAAACACAGCTCTATTCACAGCACCTTGAAAGTCTCTTTCTCTAGCCAATTATCCAGCCCTTTGTGCTTTCATAGCCAATGCATCTTCAAAATCTTCTGTCCACAGATCGCAGACATCTACCTCTGCCTTGTTTTTTCAGAAGCTGTACCCTCCATCCTCATTGTCTCTACTGGCCAAAAAAAAGCTGATTAGCCAATGAGGTCTAACACTATGTGATGGGCCAAAGGCATAAAACAGGTTATTTACTTAATAACTTTTACAAGCCAGGCAGATATATTTCTATTATAAGTAGGGCTGTACCGAATATTCCCTTTGTATTCGCTTCGGGGCCGAATAGTGGACCTAATAACGATTCCGTATTCGGCCGAATACTTGTGGTCGGGCCGAATACGAATAGTGGTTACCTTACACCTGTTTCTGCATACACTGCGATAGACTGAAATAACTCTCTCATTAACACAATAGCTGCTGTTGCCTCAGTCTGTGGTAGCGGGGTTAACTGCGACCCGGTTGCGTGGTACAGCAGCTGGCAAAGTCTTTGCCTGCTGACTCGACCAAGGCATTAAAGCAGAGGTTCTCAAACTGGGTGCACATGCCAGGGGTGCCGCGGCGAAAATCAAGAAAAGTCGGCTATAAATTGTGACATTATCAAAGAAGGCATGAAGATACTTAAAAGTTAAAATTTAAATTGTCTTTCCTCGCTACTGTCGAAAAGAGGACAGGCAAAAACTGCATTTTATCAAATGAAGAACATCTTGTGCAATATGTCCTTGTCATTGAGAGTTAGAAAAAAAATTCTTGCTTGCTACATAACCCAGTTTTAACATATGGCAGTGAGTCCTGGACAATCGGTAGGCAGGCCAAACAATTTCTTAAGGCCTCAGAGATGTGGTTTTACAGAACAATACTTAAAATACACTGAACAGCAAAAAAAAAAGCAACCAAGAGGTTTTGAAAGAGGCGGAAGCCCAAAGACAACTAATCCCAGACATCAGAAGGAGACAGTCATCATTTTTCGGCCATGTTATGCGAAGAGGGAAAATGGAACATGTGGTGAAAACTGGAAAGACCTGTGCAAGGAGGGATAGAGGAAGACAACGAGAGAAGATTCTTGACAGTCTTGTTGCATGGCATGAAGGTGTGTCAGCACACAAACTAAAACATGCTGCAGGAGATCGCAGATTGTGGCGAGGCATAATCGCTCACGCCAGTCGGCAAAGCACCTGATGATGATAATACACTTTTCGTATTGGTATTCGGCCGAATAGCTGATCCCGTTATTCGTATTCGGCCCTAATTATAAGAACTTACATCACACAGGCAAAGAGATGTCTTTAAAGAAGAAAAAACTTACTCATTTTCATGCTGTTTCTTTTTATCTGTATCCTTTACCTGAAGGGTTTCAACGTCAGTCTCTTTATCCTCTTTTTCCCCAGGCAAACTTGTCTTATCTCCATCTTTTCTGCAACATAAAAAAAAAAAAACAAGCCACACTGTATACTGCTCATCAGTCAAATGGTTATCTGAATTTTGCAATTGGAAAGAAAAAAAACCTGTGTAACTCAATTGTTTACATTTTAGTTTATTAGAAATGAAATTTATCTTCTTCTGTGTTTTACTTAAAAGGCCAGTCTAGGCTAGGCTGCAACATCTGTGCAGTGTGGCCCAATTTCAGCAAGTCCTTAACTAGTTGCCTTTCACGACACCCTAGTTAAGGGACAGTGAGTCTATTCTCAACCCAAAAAGGAAAAAGGGTACTTCATTTGCTTTCCTACTTACTTTCTTCTAATCTCTTCGATTTACAATGTAATGCATATTCTGTTCTAATTTGTCTATTCTCTCTCCCCCCACCTCCCCTTTTCACCTCCCAATCAGCCCTGGAACCCAAACGAGGAGCACATATCCCAAATACAACCCAAGGCATGAAAAGGGTACTTCATTTGCTTTCCTACTTACTTTTTCCTAATCTCTTCGATTTACAATGTAATGCATATTCTGTTCTATTTACAACATATATATTCCTACTCTCTTCTGTTTACAACATATATATTCCTACTCTCTTCTGTTTACAACATATAAACAACTTCTCTGTTCTAGTTCCTCAACATCCAAAGCAATTGAAAAAAAAAAAAAAGAAAGAAAGAAAAGGAAATGAAGAAAAGGCTCAGTTATTAAAAACATGCTAACTTCTATTCTCTTCTGTTTACAACATCTCTCAACATCCATGGTGGTAAAATAGGAAATGAACAAAAAGACTTATTTACAACATTTCAACTCCAACTCTCGTCTGTTTACAACACAATGCCTAATTACTTTAATTTACGACACATTAATAACTACTCTCTTCTATTTACAAAATGCAACTTCTACCCTCTTCTATTTACAACACAATGCTAATTACTTTAATTTACGACACATTAATACCTACTTTTTTCTATTAACAAAATGCAACTTCTACTCTCTTCTTTTTACAAAACAATGCGTACTATATTCTATTTACAACAAATAAACTCCTACTCTCTTCTACTTATAACATATTAACTTCTACTCCTGTCTTTCCACAACATATAAACGCCTACTCTTTTCTATTTACAACATATTAATGCCTGATCTGTGCTGTTTACAAAATATAACTCCCAATCTCTTCTGCTTAAAACATTTAACTTTCCTCTCTTCAATTTAAAAACATTTTACCACACACTTTTACCACACACACTCAGAAATTACATCTTTCAAGAGATATGGTCAACTATTAATTTACAGAAAATCAACTCAAACATTACTTTCTAAACATATATCCACCAGCACACCATAATATGAATTATAATGAAAACCTACAACAAGTTGCAATACAAAACCACTGTGTGTGCATGTGTGTGTGGGTGGATGGCTGTGTACATACACACACACACACACACATATATAAATATATATATATATATATATATATATATATTTTATTTTTATTTTTTTTCAACATCATGTGTCTTTTATTTATGAGGCTACTGATAAAACTGGAATAACAGTTGTTTTAACAATATGTGGAAAAAAATAAATCCTAGTATAAAATTTAAAATATTTAGCTCTAATGTCACATCAGTACTTCTGTATGGAGCTGAAACTGTGAGAATAACTAACAGAAGTATTAATAAAGTACCAACAACAACAAAAAATGGTGTGATAGAATAATTAATGTAGAGCTTAAGGAGAACATTAAACAAATTCCAGTGAAGCTAGTGCTCAGGAAAAGACCCTTGATAAGACACAAGCTTAGAAAAACTGAATAATATAATTAGAATGACTTTTCACTGAAACCCTCAAATCAAAAGAATAAAATAAGACACACAAACACACAAAACACACATGCCATTGCGTTCACTTGCACACACACTCACATGAAGATTGAAATTAGAGTGAACTTTGAAAAAAATGAGAAGGACATAAAGTGAACGAAATGCAACAGCAAAAGATAGGATGATTCGGTGAGAGTTGATTTAGGGCCTGTTCCCCACTGAGCTATAACAGACAGAATAGGCGTGCGCGCGCGCACGCACACACACATATTCACACAGAGCGGGAAATTAGAGTGAAAAAAAAATGAGAAGGACATAAAGTGAACAAAATGCAACAGCAAAAGATAGGATGATTCGGTGAGAGCTGATTTAGGACCTGTCCCCCCCCCCCTCCCCCCGGGCAATAACAGGCAGAAAAAAAAAAGTCATAAGGGCACCATTAGCATATGCATGATGCCCTATAGTATGTTGACATATTAAACGTGTATCTACAAATTAACTTTGAGGGAAGCAGCAGCAGATACAACAGGGCAATAACTGCACACGCAATTAATTACATAAGGCATCTCTGGCAACAGTCTTTTCACCATTTTCTGAATCAGCAGTTCACAACATGAACCACATTGAGAGTAGTCTCCCCAAAAGATCTGGCAGCTTCCCAATGTCACGCCATGCACTCAGCTCAGGAGAAGTAAACCTGCCTATCCACCAGACTGACTGGAAGACTAGATCAGATATTCCCATGTGGTTTTCAGGGCCATATTTTGGCAAAGTAACAAACAGACCCGCCGCTACCCTGACAAGCATGTTGTAAAAGGCAACAAATGAGAGGGTTTGCTAAAACTGGATGTGCTGAACCAACTACACTAATTAAGTGTGAAAGCACAAGAAGAAAAGAAGCAGAACGAATAAACAAATGAAATGAACAAGACATGTTTAGATTACTTCAACAACAGTCCTCAGACTAAGCGATGATGATGATGATGAATTAGGCAATCTGCATAAGGCATACAATTATGGAATAGAGATAATCATAAACTCAATGTTTCTCAAGCAACTGTTGAACACACCGGTGGCTGCAGTCACACAAATAACTGAAGCTAAATGGAAACAAAATTACTAGCAAGACTGTTAGTCAAATCTGCTATTCTGCCTGTATTAACCACTTTTGCAGTGCGTGCATGTGTGTGTATGTGGGGTATGGGGGGGGGGGGGGGGCTGTGGGGGGAGGGGGGGGTTCTTGAAGCATGAGGATTTAGGGCAACATGTCTAGTGCAATCACCCTGGACTGTGCAGGTAAGGATTTTATATTTGGCGGGACCCAAAAAAAAAACCTACCATAACGTTATAGGGGAATCGAACCTTGGTCAGCCGCATGAGGGCAAGTGTTTTAAGTTGTGTGGCCAACCATTCCTTGTTGTATTAGTTAGCACACACACAAAACCACACATACAAGCTATATACGTACTTGCACACTTATCTTCTTTACAGTTTCATTTTAATCCAAAATCTAAATGTCCCGTACAACATATACCACCTTTCTCCTGTGCTATGCTTTCAAGAGTCTAAAACATATAGCATCTACTTTATGTTCATCAAGACCCTACAACAAATGACTGTCTCTCCCTATCCCACACTCAAACAAGGCATAACTGCCTACTACCCCATCAAGTGTCAACAATATAATACTGTTTTCTTGCTACTGCACCAACTTCCAACAACAATAAGGCTGTCTGTTTTTTTTCTATCCCATCAACTTCCAACAATATAATGCTGTCTTCTTCCTATTGCATCAACTTCCAAAAATATATAGCTGTCTTCTTCCTATCTCATTATCTTCCAAAAAAATATCACTGTCTTATTCCTATCCTATTAACTCTGAACAACAAATGACTGTCTTCTTCATATCTCATTAACTTCCAACATATTACTGACCTATTCCTATCTCATCAACTTCCAACAACATACCACTGTCTTATTCTTATCTCATCAAATTCCAACAAGATATCAAGATATGACTGTCTTCTTCCTACCCCATCAACTTCCAACAACATATGACTGTCTTCTTTCTATTGCATCAACTTCCAACAAGATATGGCCGTCTTCTCCTTATCCCATCAACTTCCAACAACATATGACTGCCTTCTTCCTATCCCATCAACTTCCAACAAAATATGACTATTTTCTTCCTACTGCATCAACTTCCAACAACATATGACTGCCTTCTTCCTTTCTCTTCAACTTCAAACAACATATCATGTGTCCTTCTACTCCTTCAAGTTTCAACAATATTCAATATCTTCTTCAAACCCATCAGATTCCAACATTTTTTGTCTTCTTCCAATACCATTTAAAGTTCCAAAGACAAATGACTGTCTCAAGTTCGTACATGCCGGCCTTGTTTTGTTTTATGTAAGTTCAAATACCATGTCCTCATAATGCATTTCTCACTTCACTCTCAGCATTTACAAAACTGCAGTAAAGCATTTCCTAGATCAATGGACACAAGCTAGTTGTCTGCCTAGCTGCATACTGGGGGAAATGTCACCTGTGTTTATTGAGCAATGTCCCGATCTGATGTGGCAAAACCAGCAACAATTTTATAACAGGGAAAGGTAGTCATTTAGAAAATCAATAGCTCAAAACATGCATTACTGCACTCTACTTATGTTATTATTCTGAGATAATTCTAGCTTTGACTAAATACCTTTCAAGTGACTTGGTTGAGTTTTGCTAGTGGGATAGTCATGTGTAGGAGAAGGTTGGTTATTTAAAAAGAAAACCAATGGGATCTGGCCACACTATGGCAGGATGTCACTTTGGCAGTGGGATGTGTAGACATGTGGAGGGGAAGGCAAGGACTTTGTTGGATGAATGTGTAAACATGTAGTGGAGAGGCAAGGACTTTGTTGGATGAATGTGTAAACATGTAGTGGGGAAGGCAAGGACTTTGTTGGATGAATGTGTAAACATGTAGTGGGGAGGCAAGGACTTTGTTGGATGAATGTGTAAACATGTAGTGGGGAGGCAAGGACTTTGTTGGATGAATGTGTAAACATGTAGTGGGGAGGCAAGGACTTTGTTGGATGAATGTGTAAACATGTAGTGGGAAGGCAAGGACTTTGTTGGATGAATGTGTAAACATGTAGTGGGGAGGCAAGGACTTTGT